GCAAATTATTGTATGTGTTTTGATAAATGTAAATATGTGAAGTAAGATCATTTGCCATTCTCATTCAATGTGATAAGAAACATTGTAACTAATAATAATAGAAATGCAAAATATATGTTTGTCTCGTTCACAAGTACCTAAGCTGCAAAACCAAATAGTTATGATTTTTTAAATAGATATACAGGATAGGCGTTTGGTAGCAATTAGTTTTTAAAAGGAACAATATTTAATTATAGTAATTACCTATGTACTAGGTGGACCGACGATCTGGTGAAGGTCGCGGGAAGAGACTGGAAGCGGACAGCGCAGGACCGTCCATTGTGGAAAACCTTGGAGGAGGTCTTTGTCCAGCAGTGGACGTTATTTGGCTGAAACGAACGAACGATGTATTCAGTTTTAATAATACCAGAGAAATATCTGGTTTTGTTACATGTGTAATTTGTTAATAACCCCAGCTTAGCGGAAGCGTTGACCATGGCTGTGCAGGGTGCTTTCACGCCGGATTAGCGTGCTTAATCGGTAAGCTCGTGTTACAGCTTGTTTGGGAACCAGGCAATTTGTTTATAAGCTGGAACTTGAGATGATTTAATTATTGTTTTTACAACGTCACTTTTAATTTCTCAATTGAGAATGAATTAGAGGTAACAGCCAGTAAAATGATTTAGTTTATTAATAAAACACAAAAATCTGCAATTTTGTGTTTTTTATGCAGAACAAAACAGGTGCAGGCTAGATAATACATACTTACCTAACTGTACACAGGAAGCGTTTAAAGTTCAAACTTGCAATTAGTACAAACGTTGATAAGTGTTGTTTAATTATGTGGCTAACAAACTTACTTACACAAAAGAAAAAGGCTTCAAAAATGAACAAAAATATTTTATATGCCATAACCAACGGATAAATTAAGGGCATTGCATGCAAACTTCTTAATCTCTACACATCTTGACCAGAGTTCAGCGCCCTACCAACTGCCGATAGAGTCGTAACAGTGCTACGTTTAAAACATAACTATTAGGCGTTCCACACATTACCCAAATATCATTTTGAACGGCAACATGCATATTTTTCCACACTAGGCCGTGGCGGTTCGACAGATCTCAAAATTAGCGATTCGTTCCTTTTAGAAACGCATCTAAAAATGTCTGCGCGCACGCAACTCGATACAGTCTTTAGCTTTCTGGAAATTATCGGTCGTTGTTATATTATTATCGGTCATTAAGGGAGTGGTAGCGGGTGTAAAATTTAGGCAGTTGTCAGGCACCTTTGTTATAAAAATTTTGTTGTTAGATTGGACTGGTAAGGCTTTGTCAGAACGTTTTGTGGCGGAGTATAAAGCCGTTGTATTGTAGACTTTGGGAGAGTGTCGCTAACTTAAAAATATCCACAAATTGAAATATTGTGGGTTTTAACACTTTTAAGAGTCATTGTAGGGCTTGCTCATCGAAGAACAAAATCATAATTTTCCTCTTTTGGAAATTAGGTAAGTCGAACCAACACTAGAATCTCTGAGCCAAGAAAAGCACTTTAGCAACTGGAAAATCGCTGCCTAAATATAGGTACATAGATAAAATAAAAAATGTATCACATTGGACACTAAACTGTACCGCTTTAGTTCAAGGACTAAAATTCACAGATGACTCATACAAATCGTTTTTCAAAAGCCGACAAAGTAACAGTCTAAGACTGGCCAAATGTCATTCGCTTCCTACACGGAATAGTACTCTCATAAGTCATTAAAATGCAAATAAAATCCTGCGATGACGACTCATTATGGCCGCCGGAAGCTCGAGGAGGGGGGAGCTCCGGAAGTGACGTCATATGCGCGCGCGCCGGCGCGTGAAGCCTGTGGGGGGATATTTTTTTAATTAATAACATTATAACGGTTTTTAGGGCTTCGTATGGCAGATGGTACGCCGTGAGATTTTGGCGGGTTTTTATAAAAACATGGTGTTGCTATGTTAATTTGGTGTGTGGGAAAGTTTTGCTATTAATTAGTGAGTACGGCGCTTTTAAAGTCTTTTTGCATTTTTATTTATAGCACATGACGTAGGTACGGTACACTCACATGGTTTTATGTTGGTGTTTTTACCATCAGAGTAGTATTATTAACACGGTTATGTCTCATTATTCTAAATACCAATTTCAATGTCTAGGCAATGTTATAAACTGATTTAACAAAAGTTATTTAAGTTCGGAAACAAATGTGTACTTACCTAAAGATAAATCATTTAAAGAAACATACTTAACATGGTGCGATTGAGGTCCATAAAAACGCAATCTAGATTTATAAGTCCTAATATTAATTTAGACACTTTACATGGCATCTTCACCATTAAATGAATATGTTATGTTTTAAACTCATAATACACTTATCAACTCGGAAAAGCCTCAAAATCAAGGCGTTTACGTTACGGTGCGGAGAAGTGTGCGTTGCAGTACGGAGTTTCATACAACAATACTCACCGCCTCGAGTTGATACGGTTACGATCCGTTTCCGGATTGATAAGTGTGCTTCTTTCTTTAAAGCTTTCTAATTCTAGTTTTCAGTATCCAAGTTACCAGTTTACCGCTAATGCTAAATTCTTTACTCACAATAAGGCACCATTCACAGCTTTCTTAGCCCTCAGGGCTTCTAATTGTCAGAATTCACAATATGGCCTTTGGAGCGGTATTTATTATGTTGTAGTAACTCTGCAGAATTGTGCAAAATGTCTAATGACTATTTGTTTATTTTCAGGTAAGGGGAGAGAACTTAAATTTTTTAAAGAATATTGTGAAGGTAAAATAGCATAAAATACTATAATAATTTAGCATGTAATTTGTTAATCAACTAAACATTTCTGACTGTAACGAACACACATTTAATACTACTACTACATTTAAAACTCTCAACTCTATGATTGGTAGAGCGCCTTATAAAATAGAGTTCTTTACATTTATTTACAAAAAAATTGTAGAGCTAAATATGTTTGACATAACTTGAAAAAATCGAACTGCCTAAGGTGGGAAACGAACCTACGCCTTGCGCTTGCTGAGTGACTGCTCTTCCATCTGAGCTACTTAGATAGAGTGGCGACTCTTCGTTTCAGCCAAATGACGTCCACTGCTGGACAAAGGCCTCCCCTAAGGTTTTCCACAATGAACGGTCCTGCGCTGCCCGCCAGGCTCTTCCCGCGACCTTAACCAGATCGTCGGTCCACCTAGTATTCTTAACGCCAGAAGTTTTTTAATAAATATGTAGAGCTCTCTGCATCTTACGTAATCATACAAAAATATGTAATTAGTTCATTATCACCGTAATTACTTTCTTACAAAGAAAGTGATAATCTAAGCTCTACTGAGCGTTCAGAAATAAGAATGCTCGTTACGGTCTGCAACAATGTCATATTTTTACAAAATATACTCTATGTAGTAGACAATAGAGTCCAAATTCTATCGGCAAAGGAACAGGTGCAGTCACACTTTAACAATTTTATTCAAATTACTATCCAGTCGAGCGAACCGACAAATGATAGGCCCTGGACCGCGACAAAGGTACTGATACAATAAAAACCTCACTGTTAGAAAACCGTTAAAAATTATAAGTTTTTTTTTTATATTGCGCTTTGATGTTCGTTACGCAAGATTATTAAAAAATATATACTTGGTTTCATTGTCACGTAAAGGTAACCAACAGAATGATAATACATTCTCAAATGATCTATGTATGAAGAAATTATACATAAAGTTAAAAGTATTTTTACTACAGGTTACTACGGGACCTTTCCCACCTCCCGTTCCCACTGCTGCAACTCCTGTGCAGCCAGGATCTGATCTTAACCGCCAATAGAAACCCAACCTCATTGGACCCGCAACAAAATTATTATAAATATTAAATGTATCAATACTTACTCCATAATATTGTAATTAATTCAATGTTTACAGTGCAGGAATCAAACTTGTGACCTAGTAATCACGAACTAATTACAACGCCTTTTACTTTTTGCAACGCCTTCACTGGGCGTCACATGTTCAATATTATGTTCCTGTCAACCCTTACCCATTGGACATGCAATAAATAATTTGAATTTGAATTTGAACTACCAAGACCATTAATGCTGAAATTGTGGCAGCAAAGTTATTGAGATTACTAACTACTCCACTAATTGCTGCAGACACATTCTTGTTGCCGAGTAATTACTTCTTTATTACTCAAATATTACCACACTGAAGTAAAATTACCATAATACTCGTATACATAGCATCACACACACAAAATAGCACAACTTTTAGTGTTTATGAGGTAATAATAGCCCTTTGTACTAAGATCACATTAGACTAGACATTTTTGCTATAAAATAGACCCTATCACAACTGAATAAGAGCCTAAAGTGTTTAGCTTGACACGCTGTAGACTACTAACGGCACAAGTAGTACTAGTAACTTACCCACGGTCTTTCGGCTTGAGTAACTTCACAAGTAGTTTTTTCTGTCCCCACAAAAGGGACATTAATGATGATGACATATTATTCTTGCATCTAGTTTTCGGTTGGATTATTTGATTGTTTAGGCTAATATCGGCCGAAAATTCGATTTGACAAAAACTAAAGTAAGTAGTTTACCTCAATTTAACAAAACATGATAAACATAACATTGTTCTATAGAACTAATAGATAATTTAAAGAATTAAAATGAAAACGGCTTAATTTGGGCAGTCTTATCGCTCTCCTTTAGTCAATAGAAAAAGTGCTTTTTAAAAGGCTAATTGCATAAATAAATGTGTTTTTTATGAGTTTTGTGATCGCCTTTCGCTACCTACCTTTTCTAGACAACCAAAAGAAAGGGCATGTATAAAATCTAGGTATTTTACTTATCAGTTTTATTAATGTCTAAGTAGATTATTCAAATCGAACTAACAAACCCAAGTGGCTTAACCTCATCATTCCTGTTGTCACGGTTAGAGCTTTAGAGGCAGTGACATAATTGAATTTAGAGTTTGTTTGAGAAATAAAAGATAATTTAGATTAACAAGTTATTTATTACAATTTAGAGAAGTGAGAACTCTTAGGGAGTGGGTGGTCGAGCAAACTATCATATCGCACGAGATTCGTCACCGGTGGTAGTATATTCAAACCACTGTCCTCGCTAGCGTTGATGTTGATGTGGGTTGGTTCTTCGCTGGTGGTAAGCCCGCAGAGTCGCCGACGCGCCAGATGGTTAGGGCCGTACGCACTGTGGTGTAGGGCCACTTAGAGTGTGCGCACGGGCCGTCCGACACGGCAGGCAGCTCTGCCGGGTTGAAGACCCAGGTGGTAGTTTCGGCAGTGGTGACCATGCATGGTGTAGTAGGTAGGCGTAGAAGATGAAGGTGAACGTGAACGTGAAGGTGAAGATGAACGTGAAGGTGAAGATGAACCCTGCGGATCAAACGGCATATTTAAGCAGTTGCCAGCTTAACCGTTTGACTGCGACATCAAAATACTAGCGAAGCAGATGGAATGATTTTGGTAATAAATGGTGATGTAATGATGTGGCAGTCAAACAGAATTACAGTAGTGAAAGGTGAAGTGAAGTAGGCAAAATATTAAATAATGTAGGTAGAAAATAATTTAGAATATCATCTATATAGGCAATTAATTTATAGAACAATATAGGTAGGCAATAATTTAGAATAATTAGGACAAGTAGAATAAGATTAGAATAGTTCAATTTAGTAAATTAAATAGATTTTAGAAAGTGTCGTTACAGTACGACCAAGGTCATGTAAGGTCATGACGTGTCGATGTCATTTCATAAAATATTGATTTTATTATGTAGTAAGATATAAAATATTACGAGTAACAAATTGTAGAAACAGTTAAAATTACGAAATGACATCGTCCAGATACACTGAGCACATGGATTGCACACCTGAAGAACAAAATGGCGGCTAGGTACTTACATTTAGCACAAGTATAAAATCTAGGTATTAAAAATACTTTTGCAACACTCACCCGGTAGCGGGGTTCACCAATACGCGATTACATATTTGTAAGCAGTTGCGCTGGCACAGACGCACTCTCTCGTCCTTGCCTTCGTGAATCCAATGGAACAGATAGCTGCTACAATCGGTAGATGGCTTGGATGCAGTTTCTGGCCGATAGTTTCTACTGACCTCTACTACCGCCCTTGGCCTTTAACTTTGCCTTGCTGACTCGCCATCTCCGCCAACTGCTTACGCACTTAAATATGTCACGCGCATCTGACTGCTTCTGTTCCCGGACTCCGAGCACGACAAGCCCTACGGCGATGGGTGGTGGTAGAGAGGTCGGGTAGTGGTGCACACTCGGCTTTGTCCTAAGCCTGCACGTAGGCGACCTAAGGAGAGTGGTCGTTTTTGCGCTGCATTAGGGCGACGGTGCAGATTGGGCAGCACCTTAGGTGACGAAGCAGCCCTTTTCAGGGAGGCACTGCTTCCCCCGCCCAGCCGGGGAGGGGATTAGAAAAGGTATCCCAAAAAAAGCTCGTCCTTTCTCATTGGGGGGGTAGCAACCGCGGCTGCTCAGGCACCTCACTTCTCGCGGTCGACGTTACAAGAAAACTACAAAGCCCTCTTATTGCGGACTAAAGGAATTTTGTCGCAGTTACCGTAGCCGAAAACGGCTTGGGAGTATATATACATATTTGTAGTTTTATAAGGTTACGTACATCGCGGGTCCGGCGGTGACGGACAGCGATACGTCCGTGCTCAATAACGCTCTGGCTCGGACTAGGAGACGCGGCGGGAGCATCGCGGCCGTAGGCGCGTCGCTTGCGCATACATAAAAAACAGTCCGCCCGCTCGACAGAGAACAAAAGAAATATTGAACAACTTGTTTCGCGCGGGTTTGCTTGTAGATTTATTATTTTATTTATTTTATTAGTGTAGAACAATATGAATTATTTAATTAAGTTATTTAGTTAGGTAGTTTACGTAGATTTAGATATATTATTATTAAAGTTTATTTATTTAGGTAGGTAATAGTAATTAAATCAGAATTTAGATCTAAGATAACGATCAGCGGTAACGCTAACCGTTACACTGTTACTAGTTGAATGGTCAATCAGGGTAATTGAACCATGTGACTTATTTCCCTGGATATTTCGTAGTACAGCGTTCATAAACTATCGCAGTAGATCAATACAAAAATGAATTTTCCCCAGTAAAAGTGGGAATACTATATCAAGAGAGCGAGCAGTTTGTTGAACTGGCAGCGAATATTGATTTTTTTAACGGGAAGCTCTTGGTTTGCTCACCCGGAGATTGATGAATAGATCAAAGCTTCACACAAAATCCTCAACCACAGAGGCTATCTTACCACCAAAAATAACAACGATTTTTATGACAATGTAAAATATTTTATTTGCCAACAAAAGGATTACAAAATTAGTCTATTTTTCTTGGCGGCCGCGGCTGCTGCACTAAGCTGTGCTTGTGTTACGGCAGCCATAGCGGCAGAATTGAGTAAGATAGTGGTAGCTAGCCAGAAGGATCACTCAGAATCTTCTACCAAAGAGGAACTGGCCAACTGCGGAAACAAAAATCTTAATCTAAATAACTCAAAGGTGACTAACTGACTGATTGATTGACTCACATAGTGATCTATCAACGCACAGCCCAAACCGCTGAACGGATCGGGCTGAAATTTGCCATGCAGGTAGATGTTATGACGTAGGCGGATGCCTATGTTATGTAGGGTGAAGTTTCGTAAAAACCTAACTTAGCGGATGCTAAGTAAGGATTTTACGAAACTTCTCCCCTGAGGGATAAAACGGGATCCACGCGTACGAAGTCGCGAGCGGCCGCTAGTTATTGATAAGGTGATAGTCTTAGGTAACATAGTGGTAAAGCCAGCCTATCTACTATTGTAAGCACCAAGTATTATTATTACAAAGCAAGGTATCGCACCGTGAGAACAGGCGGCAGTTGGCAGCGAACGCTAACGACTTGCGGCCATAATGTTCGCGATTAGTGCGCGCGCGCACCGTAGCGCGCGATGACATAGTACACGTGTATGCAGAAGCATTTTCTTTATACGACGGTAAGCCTTGTGGCAGAGTAAATACAAATGAGTAGGTCATCTTCATAGAATCGCACCGAGCGCGGTTTGTATGTGAGCGCGCCAATATGTATGCGGCGCGCACGCACACACTGACAAAATTTAGCGTGGATTAGCGGTGAGTTGCCCCGAATTTTGTGTATATCATAGTATTAGTAAAAGGCGCTACTCGTATTTTGTCTGATTTACATTTGTACAAACCATGAAAAAGTATTTTTATGAGTAAGGTACAAGGGAGCCAGTATAGCCATATTTTAGTCTTATCAGTAGAAGGAGTGCAAGATGCGAAGATTACTTTATGTGGCAGTGAATTTGATATTTTTTATCAGATGCCTTATCTAATATCTCTTCTTCTTTATTACAATTCTATCTATAAAAAAACTCATAAAACTCATTCATTTTTGCAAATAGACTTTTAAAAAGCACTTTTACACGTCCCTGTATTAGCCCATTTACTATCTCTACTCTCTCTGCTTTAAAATGAATCTATCTAAACGACAGAAATCTATCTGCGCCTACTGATATTGCCTATTTTGTAAAAATGCAGACGAATTCAATTATAATGCTATCATTTTTTCTACGCTCCGATGATCTGGTGGTTACTCTAACCAGGAATTGGGGTTCGATTCCTAGTGCGGTCAAGCCAGGAAATTATTTCCATCTCTACATTTTGACTTTAAGGCTTAGTTGCACCACCTAACTTTAACAATGACAATAACCGGCGCTTTTTGGATGGAGTTTGACAGTTTTTTGACGTTTGTCAAAGTTAAAATAAGATGGTGCAACTCAGCCTAAGTATGCAAAATTTTGCACCTAAAGTTAAGTTAGACGTGTAAAAGTGTCCTAATACTAAAATACACGAATTTTTATGATGTATGCACTGTCTTGACTGTCTTTAAGATACTGAAATTGTACCACACACAACACCTAGGTAGGTACTTACCAACTCATTAGTATGTAAAGAAATAAAATAAGGGTCAAAAGGTCCACCTGACATGGCCAAGTCTACACCTGCAGCGTAAGGGTAGCTACTCAAGCATATCATCATAATGTTCAGTGTATTCACCACTAGTTTACGTTAGGTGTGCTCACTAGTAAGTGCGTCAAAAAATACTATGAAGATTTTAGTTCTTGATAGTAACCGCTAGTACAATTTGACATACATTTTAATAACATTTTTTTACGCAGTTGCTTGTAAACGTTAGGTATGTATAAAATCATGGTAAGAAGCACACTGGATATACATTTTTGTTTCAAAATAGCACCTATTGTAACTTACATAAGATGCCACTATGTTTAGCTTGATGTGCCGTCGTCTGTACACTGGTACGACCAGCTAAGCATCTCTGTAGCTGTATGGTTTGTTCGTTTCAGCCAAATGACGTCCACTGCTGGACAAGGGATTTCCAAACGACCGGTCCCGCGCCGCCCGCATCTAGCGTATAGTATACAGTGCGTATTAAATGTGTAACAAAGACGTGTTGCGAACTTTTTGGTTACTTTGGGCGTCACAAACTATTTTACGCTGACTGTACAATTTTTAGGCACAAATCAATGACTTTGCACTTAGATTTTAGTTGACAGCTGACTTCTCTTGAAGAACATTTTTCAGATGTTTTGATGTTACTGATGTTTAACAAATGTAACAAGAACTATTAAACCGAAAAGGCTCTAAACGGTACTTGTTTACCGATTGCTACCTCTACTGTTATGTACAATGGATTATGAATTCTATCCGTCCCTCTACATCAATATTCAGGATGTATTGTTGGGAGTAGTGTTGTAAGTTGCTCGACAAATATCGATGTTTTATCGATTGTAGCAAAGAGCATTTGTTAGCAAGTAATTAAAAAGTTTACGTCTCTTCTAATCGGGAAGTTTTGGTTTAGTCTGGGCAATGTCAGATGGCGAGAGAGACTCAAAAAACTGATACAACTTTTGTGACTCCATATGACAATCCAGGATTTTTTTTTATATGAGTGGACTTAAGTATGCAGTTGCCGTCTTTTTGCTACAAAAATGCTTTATCGAAACTCGACAATTTTCCTAAATGTATCCATTTATCGATGTTGGGGCAGCACTAGAGGCGCGCGCGCACGTGTCATTGACCCCAGTGCACGAAATTTGGAGCTAACGATTCGTGAATAGGGCGTTATGTGCTCATCTAGTTGACTTTAGGGTCCCCTCAGAAGTTTTCAAGATAATTTTAAGATTTTTTAAGCCAGAACGAGGAAGATCGTGGCCTGCATATGGATTATCTGATGGAAAAAGGTGATCAGGCCGAAGGTGGAAGCGAGCTTTATCCTGAATTCTCAACCATAGAGGAATACTGATTATCTTACCTCAAACTTTATAGGTAGGATATGTCACCGTAAAATTGTGAATTCCGTCAGATTATAATCTGACGTAGTTAAATTACAATCTAACCTAACCTAACCCACTGTAAGTTTACAATCTAACGCGTTATATTATAAACTGACAGAGTTCACAATTGAGGAGGTTAGGAACAAAAGGTGACATTTACGTATCAGCTTCATTTTTTCTAATGTTTTTTTTCTTACTTGGGAGGATAAAATTCTATCATTATCTGCAAGACATTGGTTCTGAAGGTGCTTAATTTCATAGAAAAATCAACTTGAACTACTGCTTTTGAAACAAAAAGTTACATTTTAATTCAATCCCAATAGTGATTTGTACATAATAATCAAAAAGTGTCATTTCCTTTGTAAATATTTCTGAGGCTTTTAAGGTCGGATCAAAACGGGTACATTATTTCTTAAAAAATAACGATTTGCCCAAAATAAATTATGACGACAGGTCGAATCGATATGTTTAATCGAATAACCTTATTATATACCTTGTAATCTATGTCTATGTTTAACTAAATTTTAAAACATACATGAAAACTTTTAATACCTTGTAATCTATGTCTATGTTTAACTAAACAGTTTGGAAAAAACTGGAAAAATGATCCTTCTTTAAAATGGTATTGTGATATCTTGTATGAAAATAATATAAGTGAAAATGACAAGTGGCAGTGGGCGGGATAGCTCGTAGAGACGATGGCCGTTGGGGCAGGAAAGTTCTCGAGTGGCGACCACGGGCTGGAAGACGTAGCGTGGGCAGGCCTCCTACTAGGTGGACCGACGATCTGGTAAAGGTCGCGGGAAGAGCCTGGATGCGGGCAGCGCAGGACCGTTCATTGTGGAAAACCTTGGGGGAGGCCTTTGTCCAGCAGTGGACGTCATTTGGCTGAAAAGAAAGAAAGAAGAAANTAAAATAATGTGACTTTACCAAATGTATGGAAGCTGGAAACATTGAATTTTCGGATAGATCCAGTTTATTCTGTAACATATTATTAATACCGTTTGATAGAGCTCATGAAGCACTTTCAGGATCAGTAACTAGTTTTTTGATATCTTGTATAGTTTAGAAATAATCGAGTGAGATCACTTATCGTTTCCACCCTGTATACCTTGTAATCTATGTCTATGTTTAACTAAACAGTTTGGAGAAAACTGGAAAAATGATCCTTCTTTAAAATGGTATTGTGATAATATCTTGTATGAAAATAATATAAGTGAAAATGACAATGAAAATGATGAAAATGGATGTGACTGCTTAGAACCTGATTGTGGAGAACTTCATGTACCTATAAGAATTTAAAATAATAATAAACACATTTTTTGTATGGATATTGATTTGTTTTTGTTTCTAATAGTGACATTTTTCAGACAGTAAGTTTCAAAAGGTAACATTTTATAGTTCCAAAATACTGAACTGTCCTATGCATGACATTGACAGTGGGGCGCCACCGTCATTACCAGATCGCTGGTTCCGATTCTTACCATGTTGGAAACCATATAGTTGAACGATGGTAGCGCCCCCCTGTCATTGAGTTTGGTGGGACAGTTCAGCGTGGGTCATCTATACAAAACTATTGAATCAAATGGTGACATTTACTTGTGACTTGATCAAAAGGTGACATCTGATTTGTTCTTTATTTAAATTTGTGTAAATTTTAAAACATACCTACATGAAAACTTTTAATACCTTGTAATCTATGTCTTATTAACCCATAATATTAAAAACAAAAAAAAAACACATAAAGTTCAACAAAAATATTTATTTTCTTAATTTATTCATATAATTAAAAAGTGTAAATGTCACTTTCTGTTCCTAACCTCCTCAATTTAAAGAAGAGTTGACAGATATAAAGAAGAGTAGGGATGAAGTATATTTAACCCTATACTTGGCAACGACGGTTTTGGTTAATATTTGTGATTTGCACTATAAATATTGGATTTATGACGAGTAAAAATCATGTAAAAATACGAAAAAAAATCTTAGGTATGTAGTTTTGGAAATATAGTATGTATCTTTAAGTGCACATTGCCAGCTTTTTAGTAAATTAAAACATGGTTTATTTGTTAGTAGAAATTAGTTATTGAAATGAAAATTACTACAAAACCTTAAGCTATTCCTTATTTGAAAAATAAAAAATAAATATCTTTTACAAAAAACAGAAAACAAACTAAAAAAAACACTTCAAAGTCTGTAACGCCTTGTAAGTATAGCTGCATTTGGATGTATGAGAACCACTCCATCAGCGTCGTTGGAGTACCTCCTGAACCTCGGACCCCTCTTACCATCCAGGAGAAGCAAATGCAGAAAGAACACATGGGAATCTTGCAAGACCATCAAAGAAATACCAGGGGTATTGATGCCAACTGGTACCGAACTGTGTTCACGTCTTTGATTGAAGATAATTAGATATCCAATGTACAGTGGAAACGCAAGATAGCGGAAATGGATCTCTAGAACTCTCAGGGAAACTATGCAGCAGTCGAACCGGATAAAATTCTTCAATCAGCATCATGCAGCAGCCTGTACAGGCTGCTCGCTTTTTGGGGTGATTTGGGTTGGTTTGAGTAGGAAGATAACCACCCAAGAGAACCAGGAGGCTAAGTGGGGCTTCTAATTCATCAGCTGAAGTGTCACCGCTACTGACTTTCGACCTGGTTCGAGATTTTCGAACCATAACCAGTATTTTGCGCGCCTAATTTTGTTGCTGCAGCACTAAGTTGCCCAAAAAACAACGATTCTTTAGTAAATGGATTAAAACTCATATCAGTATATTATAATCTACAGCTTTAAATATTAATAACTAATAACATATCCCTTTTTTATGCGATAAGATCTATGAAAAAATCATAAAATAAAGTCAACGAGAACCTGGCAATGTGTCTTTAAAGATACATTCAAAATTTAAAGTAAATTATTACGTATCTGACAATGTGCATTTAGAGATACATTCAGACAATCCGCATCGTACTAGAATAATTATACAAGTTTTGGGATGAAAAAACAGCACTATCATCAAGAAATATGTATTTACTATCCACATTACTACAAATAATCACCAATATTCTTTAAAAGAAACACCGAAAATAATAAAAATTATCAGCCGGTGCGTAGGCGCCTGTCAACGGTCTGACATTTTGCATATTACTGTTAAATCTGTGCAGCCTGTAGCGATTCTATACTGTGTAACACAATCTGAAGTATTTGGGCTAACGTTATATTAAAAAAACTTTTGAAAATAGTTTTTGGTTTCTTCCCCATATTTTTGTTTTGGTCAACGTATCTTTAAATGCACAATGCCAAGAAAAGGGTTAATTAAATACGGGTAGTCCGCGGTGTCGTACCATATCAATGACGGGCGGTACGAATATGAAGTTCGCTGGGGCCACTAGTTGTATAAAAATGATGGGGAACCTACCTTACCTAACTGAAAAAAAATACTGTAGTGTGAAAATGCCCTTACTCTTTCTACAGACGTGGTTAATCATCATTATAGCAATTTAGCATTGTTTGTCATAAGTATGTGTGTAATTTCAAACCAGAAAAGTGTGACTAAACGATATTTTACGACATAATAAAAGAGATGATCTTTTTACCATTTTTAACAATTTCAAGGCAGAGTATCATTTTAGAATTATTCGCGGTTTTTGGTTTTAACTAATGAGGCGAAAAAGAACAGGTTAGTTTGCAGTTTCAGACCGTCTGTAAAAGTCGTCGAGCAGAAGTGCTCACTTATTTTTTTATTATTATTAGATTTTTTTAAAATATTTATTGTAAGCACTATCTAAATAGTCTCCTCTCTACAAATATTGACTATTGACTTTAACACCGTTGATTTTTCGTAGGCCGATAGTTTAGTCGGGCAGTTGATCAGTATGGGCATGTATGGGAGTGCGCACGAATGCCAACGAATAATACAACAGATGTCCTGGCCAGCTGTTCAAGCTCACTGATGCATGGCTTCCATTCAACTACATTCATGTCACTACATGCCTTTTGCTCCCATAATGTAACGTTCAAGGTTACATAAAGTGATACTCTGCTTTTTGCAATGTAAGAAATGATAGAGTTATGGGTTTACTTCTAGTTGACTTTTATCAGATTTTTTAACAATGTCATAAAAATTATCACTTATTTTCTGTAAAAAGGCTTTAAAGAGTGCCTTATACGTTCAGGTATTATCACTATTCGCTTCGGGAAAATAAATGGACGGGCTGAGTGAGAAGAAGCAGCGCAAGAAACTCATGATGATGATTGTTAAATTATCCACCTTTTCTTTAGCTGTCACTCACCACACATGGAGGGGGGAAGTTGAACCTTAACTTCGAACTCCTCCTATGTTCTTCTGATTAATTTGTTGCGGGTCCAATGACAGTTAACTTTCCCCCGGGACAAACTTGACCTTCACCGGTTGGGTTTTTATTGGCGGTCAAGCTGTAGATCCTGGCTGCACAGGAGTTACAGCGGTGGGAACGAGACGTGGGAAGAGTCCCGTAGCTGTCACTCCCAATCATTATTAAATTAGTAGGTATCAAAAACTTGCAAACCATTAAAGAATAAGCAATTAACAAATCTAGCGCCAATATCATTGGGGTTAAAAGCTACGCAAATAACACAATCTATTTCATAAAAATGTATGACCAGAACAAACTTTATGATCAATTTGTGTCTTGTTAAATTGAGTTTTATTGTTGCTTTGTGTTCTGTGTCAGATATGGATGTATAGGTATAGTCAATAGCTCATCAGAGTTTAACATTTATATTGAAAAACAGAACCTATTACAACGAAATAAGATGCCACAGTGTTAAGCTTGATGTGATGTCGTTAGTACACAGTTCAAAGTGTAAAGTCGACACATCAAACTTGAAACATAAAATATGATATTTGTTGCAAAATCACTACATACATACTTACATAGTATAAAACAAAGACAACAAATCTGTCCCTATGTATGCTTAGATTTTTAAAACAACGCAACGGATTTTGATGCGGTTTTTTAATAGATAGAGTGATTCAAGAGGAAGGTTTTTAAGTATAATACATTGTACCTCTGCGAAGCAGGTGCGGGTCGCTAGTAGATTAAAATTATAGTTTTATTAATTTTCCATTAAGCTTGAAGTGATGCCATTAAAACTTTCATGATTTTTAATTCATATCCATACATCAGTATTCTCTAAAATTCAACTTAGCTGTTTCTGAAAATTAAATTTCAGATCTCTGGTCTTCTGGGGCAAAGTACAACTTTTGAAACACGTTGGTAATAGGCACAGGAGCGAATTCCGAACCGTACGCATTTCACGCAATTTGACTAATGGCTGTATGTATACTAAATACATTGACCTCACCAAAAGCTTTGTCCATATTCCTTTTTTGTTGGAAATCTTTATATTTTAGGTTTTGTGTGGGAATCGAAACATAGTGGAAGAAAATTCAGTATGACCTCTGCTTTGTTCTTTAGCGTTAGTTTACGGATAATTCAATAAGAGGATAGTCGATTTTTGTTTTCAACTTCCTGAAAAATTGCGAAATTTAGGGCAGATATTTTTACGGAAAAAAATCAGAAAGATTTGGAGCGAGATCAAACGCAAAGCTCAAGACCGAACGCGACGGAGGAGTTGTGGACGCCCTCTGCCCCATATCTAGGTTCTCAACTCGGTTGTTTTATTTTTATCTACGTACAGGCGATCATGCCGAGGTTTCTGATCAGATTTCCGAGATCCTTTTTTTGATGGA